TATGTGTCGGAATCTTGAAGGACTATCAAAGCCGTCATTCAGAAGGCACAATTGTTTATTAACAGTTGTCTACGCAAAATACTTAGGATTCGTTGGCCAGACACCATCAGCAACAACGTACTGTGGGAGAAAACAAACCAGATTCCAGAGGAGAAAGAAATCGGAAAGAAGCGCTGCAAGTGGATAGGACACACATTGAGGAAATCACTCGACTGCGTCATAAGGCAAGCTCTCACTTAGAAGAGAAAGCCCAAGGAATGCATTACGCCGAAAAATAGAGAACAATGAGCAAAAACTGGACAGAACTACAAAAGGAAGGCTGAGGATAGAGTAGGTTGGAGAATACCGGTTGGTGGCCTATGCACTATTGAGGGTAACGGGCGTAATTAAGTAAGGAAGTACAGTCAAAAACGGTGGATTAATATTTAGGGAAAAAATTTAATCAAATCTTTCATAATCTTAAAAATAATACTGACCATTTAACTCAATGAAATTCAATGAAGCTCAACTAACATTCATTTTACTACCCGAGTAAAAGATTGACTGGAAAAAAATGGCGTGATCAATCATACATTATTAGTTCAACTTAGGTGAAACTTTCAAGCAATCCAATGAACACTTTCAAGGTTGTTTATAAAGGTTAGAAATAATGGGAGGAAAAAAGTAGCTCTTTTTCAGGTAGAACCAATGTTTTAATGCGTCGCGCGACAACGGAAAGAATGAATCAAAGTCAACAGACTCATCAACACACTATGTGTTGACAATAACATACAATAAAGGGAGTTTTTTTGTTGATTACAAGTCATGAGCGTTAGGATATTCATTCAATAACCTAAGAGAATTATTGGTCAGTTCCTATTGGTTGATTCCTACTGGTCAATTTTATGGTCGTCCTAGTAGATATCAATGTCACATACATACTTCAATGTTGATTCTTATTGGTTGTCCTGACTATCAATGTCACTTCAAATGTTACTTCCTATTGGTCGTCTTAACTGTCAATGTTGTTTCTTATTCAACCTAAATGTATAAATACGCATTATCTGTGACGTTTTATAACCAGGACCCGGTCCCGGATCCCTAGTCCGGGATCCTGATTCTCTTCTGAACACGGACTTTGTACTTGCTGGATGTTTGTAGAATACACGTTTTACTTCATATCAAGTCTCCTTCTTTTATTCAATGGGATTTGGGATAATCGGATTAGAGTAGCTTGTCGTGTCGCCCGATATACGTGATCCTCTCTCTCATTTTCCGACTAAGGTAAACTCATAACAATTCAAGCCTATCAAAATGACATGTTTACATGCATGCATAACAATTCTATAGCTGCTTAACTAATAGTTCGTCAGTTCATCATGTAAACTGCTAAACTAAGAATGTATTGTTATGAACTGATAGATACTAGATTGTAACTTTAACAATAATGAGACGCTAATTGATTGACATGAAAATTAACATCTATGAATAATTGAAATTCCGCCATGTATAAATTATTTTGATTTTTTACTATAGTAACGAATATAACCAACTAGAAAACTAGCTTAATTAAACAAAAAGTACACCTTCATAATAATGGCATAAAAAAAGCCTAAACGCCCATTGATTATTGAACCAACACATCTACGATACATTTTGGGGCAGAGTTTTGGAGGTTTGCGTTTTTACACATTTGAAATCATCAATCAATCATTGTTAGACCACCATTAGAAAGCTGGAAGCACTGGATGGCGGTTTCGTCCTGGTATGGGACTCATCAGCAGCGCGCATCCACGACTCCTGCTTCTCGCAGGATCCGAACCCGGGACCTTCGGCATTGTAGGCGAACGCCTTACCATCGGACCACTGGGCCGGAGTCCTGCGAGGAGCAGGAGTCGTGTATGAGCATTGCTGAGGAGTCCCATACCAGGACGAAACGGCCATCTAGTGCTTCCAGGTTTCTAATGGTGGTCTAACAATGATTGACTGATGATTTCAAATGTGTAACTACGATACAATTCAATTCACAATTGAACTATCTCAATAAAAAGGCAATAGTAATCATGTTAATTAAGAAAACAAGTTAAAGAAGTTTGAACATTGAACTCGACTTGTTTAACTGATTAAAACAAATCAGTGTTTACACAAAATAAAACTAATAAATTTTGTAATTTTGAAAATGATAGTATGATAGTATGTTGCAGTTATTAAGATAAAATGTTTTATTTCCTAATATGGATGATGATTTTTAATAAAAAATTGAACTGCTGTTCAATACAAATTGAACATCTTGACAGAAACAATGGAATAGATTTGATTATTGATCAACGACTCACTAATCGAGATCGGTTATCCCAGCGCATTCATTCATGTCTGCCGTAAAAAAAAGTCGGTGGTTTCGACCACCCATAAGAAACCTTTATTTATAAAGTTACAACTGAACGGGGATGTTGCCTGCGATACTCTGCAGGACAGATTAATAAGAGTAATTAGTAGAACATTCAACGCAGCCAAACTTGCATTGACTTTCTCCAGTCGACCAGCGATGTCTACCCAAACGAAGGATAAGTTACCTGAGTTGGTCTCCTCTATGTGCATTTACAATTTCAGCTGCTTCTGTGGAGATAGCTATATCGGGCGTACTTCCAGGCAACTTACACAACGAATGAGTGAACATCTCCCAGCATGGTTTAAGGAAGGGTCAGTCAAAAACAATACGCAGTTTTATCTTAGCACACCTGGTAGATAGTGGTCACATTGTAGATAAATCTAGATCTTTTCGGGTGATCTATCGTATACCTCCATCATTTCCCAACGGAGTTCGATCCCGTCTCCTACACATTGCAGAAGCCATAGGTATACGCACATTCAACCCTAATTATTCTCTTAGCTGAAATGGGATTTTGTGATTCATGGTCAACGTTGATCAATGTGTAATGTACAACAGTCACAAATTTGATTTATTCTGCATAAAACTACTACTTAGATACAAGTCATTAGTAAATTATTTTGAAAATGTTTCTAAAAGTTTTATTTAGAAGCTACAAATGGTCGAGTTGATGTATGTTAGGAGAGTGAAACAGTAGTCACTAATTATTAAGCCTGTACATCAACACATCAAATTGATATGCTTGAACTGTTACGAGTTCATCTTAGTCAGTAAAAGAAGAGCCAGGATTAATGATCCAGTGATACGACAGACTACGCTAATCCGAGCATCCGAAACCCCCATTAAATAGAAGATATTTCAAGACGTAGAAAGTGTATTCTACAAACATCCAGAAAGTACGAGGTCCGAGTACAGATGAGGATGAGGATCACGGACTAAGGATCCGGGTCATAAAACGTTACAGATAATGTATATTTATACAGTGAGGTCGAATAAGAAACAACATTTTAGGTCTGTGACACTGACAATTAGGATGACCAATAGGAAACAAGATTTGAAGAATGTGACATTGACAGTTTAGGACAACCAATAGGAATTGACCAATAGAATTAGACGTACAAAAATAATTCTCTAAGGATATTGGATGAATATCTTAACACTAATGAACGAACAATACATTCAGTATAAATTAATCGAAATTAGAATTATACCTCTGAATGTTGTAGCTAAATAGTTTCAACGGATAAATAAATATATTCATCGCATCAATGAGTGCACATTTCTGACAAGCCTAACAATTAAATGCTCCTTAATTTTCAATGAAAAGCAATAATCTCTGATGAATGCTATCTACTAGTTAAACGAATAACTCCGCTTGTATACCCTCCGTGGCTAATGCCGGTCCCAAGCCCAGATAAAGGAGGAGAGTTAGGCTTGGGGTTGGCGACCCCATCTCGTGAAAAATCTTACTCGCTAAAAAAACGTTAACAAGAAAAAATAATTCAAACCATGTAAACTCTGCTGTGGGAGTTAGAAGGTCTTCATTCACAAGAGGATATGACGTATCATGATGAAAATCGAGTTTCTTCAGAAGTTACGAGGCAGATGCCCCTCACGAAAAGCAGAGCCCTTCCACAATTCGGGCAGCCAAGAAGTAACATCCTACCTCATACCCATAAAACCACACGAGTTAAACAAATCTCTACTTGACTCTTCAACAAACTGTATTATTATTCACCTAAGAATTAAACAGAAACTTTTTTTAATGATTCCAAATTTGAATTTCAGCCTGTAAGTTTTTCCATGGATTCATGAACAATGAAACTTATTCATATTGTGGTGTGAGCTACTTATAAGTAGTATATGACATGAGTGTCAACGTAATGTCTGACACCAGAAGATGGGGGAAGATCAAGAGGAAGGAAGAGTTAGAACACAATGGAATTTGTATGAAACGCATGAATAGTGACAATGGATTGATGTTTTGCAATTTAAGTTAGGGAGCATTATGCACCGTATTGATCGAAATTTTTTATTTACATAACTAGAAAAACAGATCATAACAATAAGGTTTAACTGTAATATTTTATTTTATTAAAACAATCAAAAACAATCCACGGTCTTGCGCAACCTCATCCACTCACTGTCTTCGGTGAGCACTGCTTCATATTCTAACAAAAGTTGAACTCATCTAGTTATGACTTCTCATTAGAACTTGAAGAGCCGTCCTTATAGAACCGGTCAGTGTTGAATGCCAGCCATCTCAGTGGTCCATAGGTTAAGCGTTCGCTAACAAGACCAAAGTTCTTGGGTTCCATGCCTGCTAGTAGCAGAAATTGTAGATGCGTACTGCTGATGAGTCAGTCGTATACCAAGGACGAACCTATCGTTCAGTGATTCCACGTTTCTAATGGTTATGTAACATTGATCGATTCATGCATTCAAACTAACTTAACAATCTCTACAACCCTATCATGCGAACTGACGAATGGTTCAATCTTTACACTGAAATCAAATGAACATATTTTCGAATTGACGAATTCAATGATTTTGATAATCCCACCAGGTCATTGTTGTAAGACTGTTCAGTTATAATCAATATATATATGTATGTATATAAAAGTTAACTTACTTGTTAAACAAGCCTCAGGAAATCGATTCGGTATCCATTTACGTTCATGATGATCACAAATCAGTGTTATATGTCGTCGACGCTGTAACCACCATGGAATAGGATTTACACCGCTGTCCAAAGACGATCTATTACTACTACCAGCTGTGATCAAAGACGATGATGATGATGTTGGTGGCGCTGATTGACCAGTTTCATCTAGACCTGGATCTACTGGTTCTAACCAACGATCAGATGGACAGAATATTTCAGCATAAGCAAATGTATGTGATGTTTGTTGGCTGACACGAAATCGATAATCAACCACACCATTACCAATTGGTGGATTGATTGGAACACAGAACAAGGCTAAATCCAATCATCATCATCATCATCATCATCATCATCAACAGATCAATAAAATAAAAAGAAAACAAAACATGTACATGTGTTAGAGTCAAATTGTAAACATCCTAACTATTTCATAATCATTCTATAAACTAAATTTTACGTCTGTACGTAAACATGTCATTTGAGATGCCTGAATTATTATTAGTTTACCTTAGTCGGAAAACGAGAGCGAGGATTGAGGATCCGGTGACATGACATGCTACTCAAATCCGATTATTCCAACCCCCATATTGAGTAAAAATAAGAAGACGTGATATGAAGTAGAACGTGTATTCTACAAGCATCCAGAAAGTACGCCGTCCGAGTCCAGAAAAGAATCAGGATCCCAGACTAGGCATCCGGGTCCGGGTCATAAGGTGTTACAGATAATGCATATTTATACATTTTGGTCGAATAGGAAACAGCATCGAACTCTGTGACATTGACAGTTAAGACGACCAATAGGAAGCAACATTTGAAGTATGTGACATTATTAGTCAGGACAACCAATGAGAAACAACATTGGAGCACGTGACATTGACATCTACTAGGAAGACCATAAAATTGACCAGTAGGAATTAACCAATAGGAATTGACCAGTAATAATTCTCTTAGGATATTGGATGAATATTCTAACACTAGATGACACATATACCTTGATTACGACCTTGAACTAAAAAGAATTCCTGTGTGAATTATGCTAAAACGAATTTTCCTCATTAAAGAAGTGTCTTAGGTTCAGTTGAATAATGGCCTAACAGGTGAATTATGCAAGTGCATTTTGTCCAGTTTGCGACTGATCAGCTGCATGTACGTACTTAGCATACAATGTTATTCATGTTCACACGTTTTGATTTAAAACAGCCTAGAAAAATGATCATATATGATCGACTTCACGCAGTTTTCTTTTAGAGTTATCAGTCATCGTTCTGGGTTGATAAAACTATCTAGGCTCATTCATGTGTTGCTGTCAATTTCTATTTCTTATCTCTGTGTGGTCTATTTTTTGTGTAGGAATTGTCAAAGTATGATAATAAATCTTCGACTGTTTCGTCATTGGTCGTTGTTCTTCCGCTTCGTTTGGAGTAAGTTAATATTGGGCAATCGTTTAGTCAGTCAGGAAGTAGAGGTAGTAGAAGTATTAGTAGTAATCAGAGAAATTAAGGTTCGAAGATATTGTTAAAGAAATACAATCTACTGAAATAAACTTATGAAGAGAAAGATAGAGGTGATGAGGAATTGATAAGATTACAATTTGAGAGAACGGAAAGAATGGATGCATCTACGACATCGCAAACGGTTTTGAGTACTGTCATACAGGGTATCTAACCATCGATTACTATCATCTCGCGAACCCCAACCAGGTAGTCGACACCTAGCTATTCCTGCATTTCAAAACAAAGCTCGATGAGGCAGTCAGTGGTTAGGCATACGCAAAACATGTCACAACCACCTCAACTGACTAGGTTTGACTACTTCATCTACTGATCTGCGACCCTTACCTATGACCCGTTTCCTAACGACAGTATTGCTTACTCGGTTGTCCCAGGATACATGAGCAGTGCTTCGGAGACATCTATGATCGATCTTTCAAGAATAGAGTAGCACGTCTCTTATCCTTGTTTGCATATTGGTTACTTAAAGGTCTTCTGCATATTGTCTAGTGTAGACGTCGCAACACCACTCATCCTTCTTCAGTTTATAAAACTGCTGTTCACACACCTCTGTCATCAGTCGCAAAAACACTGGGTCATAAAACGATACAGCTAATGCGTATTTATACAGTTAAGACAACTTATAGGAAACAACATTGATGTACGTGACATTGATAGCTAGGACGACCATAATATTGATCAGTAAGAATTGACCAATAGAATTAAACTTACAAAAATAATTCTCTAAGGATATTTGATGAATATCTTAACACTAACTGTCATTTCTAGTCATTTTGGAAATCATTTTTTAAATTGTATATTAACCTGTTCAAAGTTCAACTGAAGATGTTTGCTGTACAGAAAAAAATAAGTTTATCATCTCTTATCCTAATGAGTCAGTGCATTTTGACAGTAACAAACTTTTCAATTTAGGGTTGTGGAGAGTATTGGGTTTCATTTAAATCATGAATCGATCAATGTTAGACCATCATCAGATACCTACAAGCATTGAATGGCCGTTTCGTCTTTGTATGGGACTCCTCAATGAATCCCGCATTCAGAGGTCGAACTCAAGACCTTCGGTCTCACGCGCCAACGCTTACCATCTAAACATCGATTGATTCATGATTTTAATGAGACTTAACAATCTCCAGAACTATATCATGAAACTTATCATTTACCTATTATTGACTAGCTTCGTGAGGAATTTTCTCCCAGTTCAAGTGAGAAATCATGATCTGTGGAGTTCAACTCAATCGGTTGTAGTCAGTAACTACCGAAGACAAATGGATGAGGTTGTGCAACACTTTGGATTGATCAAAGTTAGACATGAACACCATTGTACACCAGTGCTCACTGGTCCAGAGGTTAAGTGTTCGCATGCTAGACCGAATGTTCCGGATTCGATTCCCGAATGCGACGATCATGGATGGATCCATCCAGTACTTCTAGGTTTCTAATAATGGTCTAACAATGATGATCGATCGATCGATTTTCATAGATTTCAAGTAACAAAATGATCAAATTCTCAAAGTGAATATAGAATAAAAGAAATCAATCAATCCTTCACACAGTAATAGTGTATTCTGACTGCAATAATGATAGACACACAAACACACAGACATACACTTACACACACATACACACATACGACACACAATTTCTGATGATATACACAAGTTAAATTCCAATCAACATAGAAAATAACTCATTCACCACACATGACAGAAGAAAGCAAATATTAACAATGATAATAATATTGATCATCGTCATCATCATCATCAACATGATCAATGAACATTGAACTGAATTGAATTGAACGTAGATTATTCAAAATAAAAAAAATATTTCAAAATATACATCGTTCAATTATGTATTGTTTGTTTAAGTTGAAATTAGAGTGTAAGTGAGTAGTTTTTCTGCTGTAATTACTAATATATTCACAGTATTTTTTGACAAATAGACTAACTGAATAATAATAGTAATCATAATAATTAGACAACATTGAATTGCTGAGATAGAAAATAGTAAATATATGCTAACTAATTATTAGGGGACGTTAGATCCCCAGAACTCATATGGAAACTGTTAGTTGGACATAGATGGATATGGCTCCTACAAAGCAGGCGGCTCGTAAGAGTACGGGTGGCAAGGCACCCAGGAAGCAGTTGGACTCTAGCACCAGATCCTACCTCAAAGGGGAGGTGTTAGTGGGACATAGATGGAATTAAAGCATGACTAGGTTGCTGAGCGCTGATTGGCTAATTTCCTATCCAATCAGCGCCTGATCGTTGCTTGGAGAACAGGGCAGAAAATTCTCGTATTATTAGATCTGCATGCTGATTGGTCAAATCCAATCCAGTCGATCACGTGAATTTTGTTCTAGAAGCTTTCTCATGTAAATGCTATAAATAGACTAACGTTGTATCTATTTTTGCCTTCGCCATCACCTTTGGCTTCTTATTTCCATTTAAGCTTGCAATTTGGAATATGATCTTTTCCTGTTCAACCGTGTTTTTGATTCTTGGGAAGCAAGCGTTACAATAGAAACGGTCCTAATTTTCGCGCATAAGTCGCTTAGTTGACCTTGAGCCCATATTTCCTATTCGGAAAATCACTGACTGTCATTGGTGGATAGATTATTTTAATAGGCTATTTTGTGGTGCTCCCAAGAACGTCTCTATGATGTATAAATAAACTCGAGTTGTATGCTTGAAGAAACCTCATATTTTCTGGGTGCTTGTAGAATCCACTTTTTACGCCTTATCAAGATTTCTTGATATAGGTAGACGGGCCTGGGACAACGGATTCAAGTAGTCTATCGTGTCACTGGATTATTTGTCTTCGCTCTCGTTTACTGCGAGTTAGGCGGTGAACTCTTAATAGTTTCAAGCGTATCTGTTAGAGTATTCATCAAATAACCTTGGAGAATTACTTTTGTAAGTTTAATTCTATTGGTCAGTTGCTACTGGTCAATTTAATGGTCGTACTAGATATCAGTGTCACGTACTTCAATGCTGTCACCTATTGGTCGTCTTGACTATCAATGTCAAAGACTTCAATGTTGTTTCCTATTCGACCTAAATGTATAAATATGCATTATCTGTAACACTTTATGAACCGGATCTGGATCCCTAGTCCGGGATCCTGCTTCTCTTCTAGACTCGGACCTCGTACTTTCTGTATGCTTGTAAAATACACGTTCTGCTACATATCAAGTCTCCTTCTTTTATTCAATGGGAGTTGGAATAATGGAATTAGAGTAGCCTGTCGTTTTGACGGATCCTCGATCCTCGCTCTCCTTTTCCGACTGAGGTAAACTCGTAATATTTCGAAGCATATCAAAGGACGTGCTTACGTACATGTGTAACACTATCCTTTGACAAGCATATCACTAATTCACTACTGATCATCAATATTAGATCTATGATTCAGTGAGTCAGTCAACCAATCAATAAATCAATCGAAAATCAATAAATCAGTCAAATAGTTTTCTTTGGTGCCTCGAGTTAAACTGAAATGAAGTTCAACAATTTTTTGGTGGCCCGTGATTTTGAATCGAGTTTTTTCCATGAATGATCGAGTATACGATAAAATATATCTATTTTCCCTTCCATTTCCGTATATTTGAAACTTGAGCAAACATTGTTTGTGCGATGGTGAAAATAAGAAGCCACATATTGATTCGGTCGGGTGAATTTAACACATGCGTTCATTTAAGTAGACAAACACGTGAATGCGCATACACGACTCCTGAACCTTGCAGAATGATTTCAAATGTGTAAAAACACAAACCTCCAAAACTCTGACCCAAAATATCGTAACAGTGCTCACCAGTGATTAGCTTCGTGAGGAAATTCTCGGAGTTCTAGTTGAGAAGACGTGACTAATGGAGTTCAACCCTGTCGGGTGTAGACAGTAACTACCAAAGACAAATGGGTGAGATCACGCAAAATCCCTAGATTAATCAGAGTTAGACATTAACGCCGTTGGATGCCGGCCCAGTGGTCCGACGGTTAGGCGTTCGCGCACAATACTGAAGGTCCCGGGTTCGAATCCTGCGAGGTGCAGGAGTCGTGTATGCGCACTGCCACTGATGAGTCCCATGCCAGGACGAAACGGCCGTCCAGTGCTTCTAGGTTTCTAATGGTGGTCTAATAATGATTGATTGATGATTTCAAATGTATAAAAAAACACAAACCTCCAAAACTCTGCCCGAAAAAACATGAGAATGACGATTGTACGATCAAAGCAAAGCGAATTGATCAAGGTGAGTGAGCCAACTGTCATGCACTAGCGCAATGAATGACTAAGTATTTATGGTCAGGCAATTATGAAAGTCTAGACATGTTCTAATGTTAGGTGTTTTTTCTTCAACATAAAATTCATCTAAACTTTTATTTTCTACTAAATAAAGGAACTGCAACACCTGAGATTATCTGTAATGTTTTCAATGTTCAACAATTGTTTTTTATTTGAAATCATGTATTGATCAATGTTAGATCAGCAACAGAAACCTGAAGGCACTAGATGGCTGTTTCGCCCTGGTATGTGACTCATCAGCGGTGCACATCCATGACTCCAACTACTCACAGGATTCGAATTGAAGAACTTCAGTTTTGCACGCGAACCCTTTACCTCTGGATCACTGAGTCGCCATCCAACGATGGTAATGTCTAACTTTAATCAATTTAGGACATTGTGCAACCTCAAACAGAAGGATCTGACTGTGACAAATTTGGTCTGGTGTGCTTTTATAGGTATGAGGGCGGATTTTACTTCCCGGCTGCCCCCACACCGTGGAAGAGTTCTGGTTATTAGAAGGGGTATCTGCCCCATGACTTTCGAAGAAACTTGGCTTCCATCATGAGAGTTCATAACTCTAGATGAAGACCTCCTAACTCCCAGAGTAGAGTTTAAATGGTTTGAATTATTTTTTCTTGTTAACGGTTTTTTAGCGAGTTAGTTTTCTTTTGCGGGACAGGGTCGTCATTCCCAATCCAAACTTTCTTCCTTTATCCGGTTTTGGGACCGGCAGTAGCCACCTAAACTGATGAGGTTTCATTACTTCATCTATTGATCTGCCATCCTTACCTAATACCCGATTCTAAACAGTGACATTGCCCAATCGGTTGTCTCAGTATGCACGAGCTATGCTTCGACGGCACCTGTAATCGAATACTAACAGCCTACGAATATCCTCTACTCTTACTGGCCATGTTTTACACCTATATGGTAAGATGGAGCGAACTGCAGCGCAATAGACTCGTCCTTGGGTAAGCGAACAGATATTTCGTCTATGCCATAAAGGATGCAAGTTGGAAAAAACCAATCGGGCTTTCTGTATCCGTGCTGAGACTTCGTCAGTTACCAGGTCATCAGCACTGATGGGACTCCCAAAATAAATGAAGTCGTCTACACGTTCGACTACTTCACTACCTATCACTAGTTCAGATGCCGATGCAACCCAATCTTGAAGCAACATTTTGCATTCCCAAGGTGAGAACCGCATCCCAAACATGCTTGCATTGTTGCTTAGGGTAGTCAGAAGACTCTGCATTTTATCAGCGTCTTCACCAAGTAGGACTATGTCATCGGCATATTCTAAGTCAATAAGCGATCCTCCTGGTAGAAGCTCTACCCCCGAAAATTCAGACGAGGATAAGGTTATATCTAGGAGCTTGTATATGATAAAATTAAACAAGAATGGAGAAAATGGACATCCCTGACGGACACCACTTGAAGTTCAGAATTCCAATGACAGTTCGCCATAAGCTGTCACTCGACCAGTGGTGTTTGAGTAGAGAGCTTGTATAAGGTTAATATACTTCTCTGGTACAAACTTAAACCAGAACACCAAAAGAGGACAACCCTAGCCCAATACACCCCACTCAAACTAGGTCAATCCTGATGACATTTCACCAGTAGACAACCAGTTACAAACTCAATACACTTCTTTAGATTACATCCTAATTAAAATCAATCCATCCCATCCAATCATGTACAAGTATACTAACCACTTACCAATATATTCTAATACAACACCTTTTCCATGTTTCATATAAGGATCTAATAAATTTAAATTTGATGTCAGTTGTAAACCATGCACATTACTGATTGGTCCATAAGTTTGTCCAACTAAATTTGTTTCATCCAATGAGAACAATTCATTTATCTCATTATGATTCATTGAGCTAAATGATGATGAGAATGATGAAGAGGAGGATGCATTGGTCAAACTGCTACTTGTTCTCTTTGCTTCCACAGTAGAATTTACATTGTTCTTAATTAAACATAAACGAATCAATGGGATATTATGCATAGTACCATTGTACAGATTCCATATTTGGGCATCCACTGATAAATAATCATGATGACATGCATTGCCAGGATTGGCTGGGCATGATGAACCAGTAGCAAAGATTAATTGATGATGATTATTGTCGTTTGATGAGATAGATTTCGAGGAGAATGAAGAGGCGGAGGCGGAGGCGGAGGACGATGAAGAAACTAAATGGAAAAATAAATATATATACGAAGTTTATTTCAATGAGTAACTTAACAAATTACACTTAACAAAACGATAAACGAATTGTTGGAGACGTTAAATACACAGAGCTCACTTAGAAAGAGTCTTAATTTTAGAATTTTCATGGTTTCGCGCATAAGTTGTTTAGTTGACCTTGAGCCTAGTGTTATGTTCCCTGTCACCACTTGTTATAGGTACGCTTGAAGCTATTACGAGTTCACCTTAGTCGATAAAACGCAAACGAGACAATGAACCAACGTCCAAGTAGGCTAGTTTGAATCCCAAAACTGTAAAAACAGAAGTTTTGATAAGCGTAGGGAGTATATTCTACAAACACCCAGCAATCACACACAGTACAATCAAGCATACAACTCTCGTTTATTTATACATCATCATAGAAACGTGGTCATTGGGACAGTTACGAAAATAGCACACTAAAATACATAGCAGACAATCATAGTCATGGATTTTCCTGGTGGGAAATGAAGTCTCAAGGTCAAATGGTCAGCGCATGCTCGCAAGCGTGAAATCCAAAATAAGGCATTTATCAAGCGAGTTCTGGGGATTTAACATTCCTAACACCTACAATTCGCACTCGGAAAATCCTTGACTGACATTGGTTGATGTGTTATGTTAGTACGCTATTTTTGTGGCTCTCCCAAGGATGTTGCTATCATTGTATAAATACGCCCGATTTGTGTGCTTATCAACCTCGATCTTTTGTGTGCTTGTAGAATACACTTTCTACGTCTTATCAAGACTTCTTCCTCTACTTAGTGGGGCATCGGGACGCTCGCATTAGAATAGTCTGTCGTGTCACTGGATCGTTTGTCTTCGCTCTCGTTTACCGACCAAGGTGAACTCGTAATAGTTTCGAGCATATCAGAAACCCACAAGTACTTGACAGCCGTTTCATCCTAGTATGAGACTCATCGGTGACAAGGTGCATCCACGGCTCCCACGACTTGCATGAATCGAACCTAAGAACTTCGGCCTTGCGCGACAAAGCTTAACCTCTGAAAGACTGGGTTGGTATCCCATGGTGTTTATGTCTAACTACGATCAATTCGTGGTCTTGTGCAATCTCATCCACAATCTTCGGTGAGCATTGCTTCACATCTGAATAGGGTTGAACTCCACTAGTCACGAATTCCCATTAGAACTTGAAGAAATGTCTGCACGGATCTAGTTAGTAGTGAGCACATAATAATTTGCATGAAACAGTTGTGGTGATTATTGATTTAGTTTACTGAAATGTTGAATCGATCATTGTTGGACAGCCATTAGAAACTTGGAAGCACTGGACTGCCGTTTCATCTTAGTATGGGACGATTCTCGTGAGAGGGCATCGTGGTAGTGCACTGCTGATCAGTAGGACGGAACGGCTGTCCTACGCTTTCATATTTCCAATGGTGGCTTAACAATGATCGATTCATGATTTCAATTAACTAACTCGATAATCTCCACAACCTTATAATGAAAATTATCATGGGCTCACTAGTGATTAGCATGGTGATGAAATCGTCCTCATTCGTGGAGTACAACCTTGTTCGGATGTGAGGCAGTACTCACAGAAGACTATGCCTGAGGTTGCACAAGACCCTGCATTGACTGAAGTTAGATATAGACACTTAGATGCCGGTTCATTGGTCTGAAGGTTAGGCCTTAGAGCGCGCGACCGAAGGTCTTCGGTTCGATTGCAACAAGTGGAGTTAATGGCTGTGTAAAATACTCATGGCATGGTAATCAATACAAATTTTACAAAGTATCGGGTCAGTTTAATCTTAATCTCAATCAATCAATCAATCA